TTCGGAACACGTGGCTCATTAACAGTGAGCTTCAGTTTGGGGCTCGCACAGAGGGCTGGGGCTGCCAAAACACTTACAAGTCACAGAGGACTCAGAAAGGGCCCAAGCTGCAAAGTTCAAGGGCAGACCTGGAGGCAGAGCAGTGCTGTGCTTAGCAAAGTGCCCCAAACCTGTTGTTCATTCCTGTCACTCCCTGCTCCGCTCCATTTCACTTGGAAAACAGGCCCAGGCTAGAGCTGGAAGGATGCTAACTCCTCTCCAGATTCTGGTTAGGGATCTGTGTGGCTTTGAGTGCTCTCTCCTCTGATTCAACCTATATCCCAAGGTGCTCAACCAGCCAAGGATGCTCTGAGAGGCCTGAGATGCTGCTGTTCCAAAATGCCTCACTAGAAGCTGGACCTGAAGCTAGAACTCAGCTCTGCTCTGCCAAGGCCATTCTGCTCAGCCACAATGGACCCATAACATCATGTGCATCATCACCTCACCAGCACTGGGAATGCCCATCCTCAAATCTCTGGGATGGCCAAGCTGTGCTCCTCAGCAGCTAAAATGAATATCCTGGAAGTGCAGGCGCTAAAAAAAAAAAAATCCCTGTCGGAAGCACAGCAAAACCCATCTGTGAGTGGAAGAGGTCAAATGAGAATACAAAGGCTTTTATTTCCTGGAGACATTTGTCAGTAAGACAAATGTGTTTTTTTAAAATTTGCTGCCATTTCCTAGCTGGCCTCCCACGCAAGCACCAAATGGACTTTCAGTCACATGGAGCAGGGTGTTGGTTTGTGTCCTTTGTAATCCAACACTCGAGGACTCAGCTGAGGAGTCGCTTGGATCGCTGTTTGTTATAGCAAGTGGGGCATTTTTAAAGGAAATGGGCAGATTTCAACACTACATCTATAACTACTTTATTGCTGGTGTGTTCCTCTCCTGCCCTGATTATTTATGCTGAAAATGATAAATGAGGGATTGATGATTCTAGCTGGTTCATGAATAATCAGGTTATTTCACTGCAAAGCCCCAGGGGAAGGTAATGTTTCTACAATCCTCCATCAAAGAGAATGCAGTTTGCATGCTTGTGTGTGTGTGTGTCTGTTGTTCATTCCTCCACTGCTTTGTGCAGGTTTTGCCATGGTTTTGAGCTCTCCCTCTGCAAATGTGCATATGCCCATGCATTCCCATGGTACATCCCCGTGCCAAAACATTTCCCAGTCCATGCAGTCCCTTGGCATCGTTGGCAGCAGCCACACACAGAGTGTTTGGAGTAGTTTGCTCTCCAGAGCAGGAGGTGATGGGCACCTTGATGGCCTGTGATGGGAAGCTGTATGGCCAAGGTGCAGCCAGGTGCTCTGGGGAGGTGCATGGAGGGCTCTGACCACAGCAGTCAGCTTGGAAGAAGCTCTGATCCCATTTGAATTTCAAGGAGCTGCAAATAGCCGCTGGTCTCAGGATTTGCCTGTGAGACAGGAAGAACCTTGGGGAGATGATTTGAATGTTTATGTATATAGAAATGTCTAATCACTGGGCTCAGAACAGGCTCAGGAAGGGAATCTGGAGGTGGTTAGCTGGAGAGGAGGATATTTTTATGCTAGAAATGTGCTGTCCGCCTGTTTGCAGGGTAGGAAGGATACGATGGGAATCAAAGACTTGGCAGGATGAGCATTTTCATCTTCATAGATGTGAACTCCCCATCTGTCTTGGACTCCTAGGCATGGAACTGTTTAGCTCCAATATCATTATTAGAAGCAGAAAATAGAGCTCATAAAACTCCCTCCTTACGCCCCAAAAAAGCAATTCCAGGACCCTTTATCCTACTCGAGAACAAGCTATTCCTGCATTAATTTCCCCACTGTGGCTGGGCACTTTGCCAGGGGAAAGGGACTCAGTACCTCAGCAGGAGCTGCACAGCCCTGGGGCAGGTCCTTGCTCCTCTGCATTGTCACCAGAGCAGGGGATTTAGAAACAGGCAGGAGAGCTGGGGATGAACAATGTGGTGCCAAACCTGCTCAGCAAAGCCACATTTCTGCCAGGCCATGGGGTAACTCTAGGGGCTGAATCTGTGGTGGGAATCTCTCTCTCAAGCAAAGGGATGAAAATCAGTGCTAGATCCACCTCTTTCAGCTAGGCAGGCACTGCTGAGGGCAGTCAGGAGTGCCAGTCTGGGGAGACACCATCCCACCACCAGACCAAGCATCCAGAGGCCACATAGAGCCACCTTGGGGACTCAACTGCTGAAGCCAAGGTGCCCCCTGAGGCACTGAACCTGCACCACGGGACATGAGGAGGTCACAGAGCTGCATCTAGAGCACCTCAGGTGGGTTCAGTCACCTTGGCATGGCTGCTGGGGAGGTAGTTGTGGAGCCACAGGGTGAGCTGCTCGGGGGACAGAGATGTATCTGCTCTGACAGTTTCTTATCCCGTGTCTGTTCCCCACAGAGATGGATGAAGTGACAGTTCTGCATCCTGTGCCAGAAGGAGACACAGTTTGTGTAGGTGGCTGTGAAACACATCAGTCCAGACATGCTGCTGGTGGCTCCTTCTCATGGGAACAGATTCATGACATTTTTGAGGGCAATACAACCTCCTGCTTCTGGGCACTGCCTAGATCTTCTGAAGACCCTTCTGCAGGTCCAGGCTGTGAGATTGCCATCTGCTGAGCAGAAGGAATGGAGACCAAGCCCAAGGTCTTGCACGTGGTAGTCTGAAGCCGATGGTTTGGCAGCAGGGGTATGTTTTCACTGCTCCAGTATCAGGTAAGGTTCTTTCTCTGGCAAATCTCTCTGTTGTTTGTTGACTGTAAATAGCTGTGGAATGAAATTTGATGGAGGCATCTATTGTTCCCCTATAGCTCTGCTTTGTTGAGTGAAAAAGGGATCCCAGCATGTGGGGTTTTATTATTATTTAATTTGTAGCTGCCTATTATCAGCAAATTCTTTTAGGTGAGGCTTTTGGCATTTCACACTCAGCGTTCTTGCTGTCTGTAAAACCAGTCTAAACCATTCCTTCTGTTCATAAAGCGTCTAGTTTAAAGTCAAAGTCCATCCATTATAACTTCAGCACCTTGTAATCCCTCAGAGATATGTGCAATTACTCTCTGAAGTATCCTGGGAGCAAAACTAATACCAAGCATCATCTGCTTAAATTTACAACATCCAAATAGCACAGTAAAAGCCACTAGCTTAGGGGTTAGCTCATCTGAGCACACTTGCCAAAACACATATCCTGCATCTAATACTGCTTTTTGCTGCTGAGGATTCAGCTGCCACCTCAGGAATCTTCCTTGGACAGCATTCACATTTCATGGTTTCATTCAAATAGCAGGAGTGGATGCACATGTCCTTCATCTGGCACTTGGCTATCAGCCAGTGAACTCACCCAGGCTGCACATCCCCTGCCTTCTCCAGTCACTGTGTTTCCCCAGGTTCTTAGGCATGAGCGTGTTCTCCATCCTTCATCCTAGGAGCAGTTCAACCATGATTTGTGACAGAAAAGCTTGGGATGAGGACATAGGCCCTTGCCCTGCAGCTGATTCAATCCTCTTGCATAACATGCCTTTCCTTCTCCTTTCCATTCCTTAGAGTTTAACAGCCATTTTCATCCAAACCTATTGACTTCATCCCTATAAATCCAATATGCTTTTTCCATAAGGATTAGTGTCAGATTCTCCTTGCAGACATCTTGGGCCTTGGAAGAGCAGAATGCTCTACTCATAGCTGGCTGGTGAGCCTGAAGCAGTTACAGCAATGGCTTTAAAAAGCACTTCATGGCCAGGAAGGGTTTTAGCCCCAACACAGCTCATCTGCCATGGTGATCTGCACAGCCAGGGGTAGCAGGGCCCTCCCAACACTGCATTAGGGTGTGGACACCTGGATTTGTTGGTTCTTCCTGCCCTTGAAGGCCATGGAAAAGAGGAATTGCCTAGATCAAACACCAAGACTAGGTAGAACGAGATGAAGCAGGAAGAGGGAAATTTGGAGTGAAGAAATGGTAAACCTGCCACCCAGTGATGTCTTGAAAGGTAAAATTGTCTCTGCTTTTCAGCTTTCCCTGGGCACACGTGGCAGAGCAGGTTTAGCACATCACAGCACTGACTGTGACCACAGTCACTCATCCACAGGGAGCTGGGCCAAAATCCATGGGTAGAAAGGGCACACCAAAAACTTTCCCTCTGGATGGGAAAGTGGCACTAGGCAACAAGTGAAGGGTTAAGGAAGAGGAAAGAAACTCCAGATACATCAGCATGATGGTTTGAGCATTTTATTATGATATATAAATTTTGTCTTCTTAAATTACTCTCTATGAGTTGAACAGAAAGGGATTATGGTGGAGGGGGAATATACAAAAATAAAAGGATATTGTGAACTACTGCATCACCACATATACAACAGTAAAGTACTTTACAAGCACTTAGAGAATCAGACTTACAAAAATAAAAATATGACACATCCTTATGCATTTCCACCACTTAAATGTTCTCTTCTTCCTTCTCTAACCTTCAGACACCTTTCAACCCCATCCTCAGGTCACAATTTACACTGTAGGATACTTTGCACATTTTGATGGTCATCACAGTATCTGGGAAAGAATTGGTGCCTCCCAAGACTTATAAAATCCAATGGTTATAGGAGAGCTTTAGGGGAGATATTTGGAACAGCTCAATTTGTGAGTGATCAGGTGATCCTCAGGGAGCAGAGTTCATCTGGCAGTAGAAATCAGAATATCCCACAAGATCCATCATCCCCTGCAAAGCATTCCCACATCTCCACAGAGGCACAGCTCTGTGCATGTTTGCTTGATACTCACGGTAATTACCCCATGAGTCTGAGAATGCTGATGCTCACAGACTTCAGAGGGACTGAATGACTGTGACAGAGGTTGGATCTGATTTTGTTTCAGCTCTAAACAAGGCAAGGATGCCTCTTCCTACAGGAAAAAAGGCAGGTTAAAACTACAATGGCTAAATATCCTAACTCACAGCGTTCACACACGGAACCATTTACTTCCAGATCAGACTCACACAGTCTTCAGTTTGCTCTCCAAATCCTTTTGCTCATTAGCCTTCTGGTGACCTTTCCCATTTTTTTAAGACACACTCAACATAAATAGTAAACAGCATTCACTTCTCTGACCAGCAGCTCACTCAAACACTGCTATCAACACCCAAACCCCATTTCATCATTCCCAGAAAGTGTGCACCCAGGGTGCAAATCTGTCTGTATTTCACATTGAGAAAAGTAGAGCTAGCTTAGGAAAAAAAACCCACAAACAAACAAACAACAAGAAAAAGACAAAAAAATACAGATAAGCAGTAAACTGGTTTGGTCAAAGTTGTTCTCTGCGGTTTGTGCAAAGTATTCCGCAGCTTCTGAATGGTCCATATTTAGTCTGGGTTTCCTCTTTTTGGCCCCAAATGCAATGACAGCAATGCAGGCAGATCAGACACAAGCATGCTCTGTTGCATTCAGGGGCAAAAGAATCACAGGGATAAAGTGGAAACCCCATACCTTTCAGCTAGGGAATTTCCATATTGAAATGACAATCTTCCCCCCACCAAAAGAAGATGCCTTCTGGGAAAGATTTCAATCTCAAAAATAACTCTGATGCAAAACAATTCCTTCCAACTTTACCCATCAGGCTGACAAGACTGTGGGCAACATGACATTAGGATCCTGGGGAGAAATCATGTAGCCACAGTCCCAACAGCTCAAGAAAACTCATTTTTCCATGGGCTAAATTTATCATTTGTATCTTTGAGAAAATATACAGCAACAAAGATCTGCTGGTTGAGATTAATAATGCTCCATTTAAAAGAAAAGCACCTCCCTAGTGGGACTAGTTCCTTTTAGATGTACAAACATACTGCAGGTATGGCACAAGGCACTTGTTGGCTGCTTGGAGTGATTCTTCACTGGCAACACACACACACAAAATTCAGTTTCTGGTGTTTAAGCAAAACAAAACAGTCATCACTTTTCCCAGTCATGAGTAAAATGAACTTTGGCTCTTTCTAGCACTGCCTAACCCAGGACCAGGGATGGGAGCAGGGACAGAGGGTGGGCAGGCAGGGTGGGATCTGTGCCCAGGCAAGGGTGAAGACTTGACCCTCTGTGGTTTTCTTGTCCTCAGTAAAAACCAAGTCCCTCACCAATGCCAGCTTTTGTTGAGAAGAAAAGCAGCTTGTGATAGACCCTAGGGAGACACCATGCAAGAAGGTACTTTTCAAAACTTCCTACAGCTTTCAGGCACTTGGCAATGTCACAGTTTGGATGTGGCCCAGGGTGGTAGCCCCACCATAGCCACCATGGCTACACAGCTCAAAATGTGTTCAGCAGCCTAGAAACCTAATTTGCTCTCCTGTCCTTTTTTTTTTCCTAACATGGCAAGACCAGAAAAGCTGCATAAGCTCAAAGGAACAGGAGCACATTAGGTCATTTCTAGTCTATTTGCAGAGAAAACAAAGCATGAAGCTTCAAAGAGGCCTGGGCTGGGTGTGTGGGACCCTCCAGTGCCAAGGATGCAGCTCTCTATTGCACCCTCCCAGGGGTCACATCCACCTGTGAGACTCTGCCTCAGCAGCACCATCCCTGTGTGCTGAAAGACTGGGCTGAGATTCAGGTCTCTCTGCTGGATTTGTATTTGCACACTAGTTTTTTGGCTTTCCTTGAATTCTCTTTTTCTGTCACGGCCAATATTTAGGAAGCAGAAGGAGCAGTGGACTAAGTGGGCAGCAGCCTGCAGCTGGTCAGGAGAAGAGATTTTTCTGGGGAGAACCTGTCCTGCTCAAAGACCAGTGTGATCAAAACCTGCAGCTTTGTGCTTGGAGCAGGGGATTAATCCAGTCGTCAACAGGAGCAAAGCCCGATGCAGGGTCAGCACAGGGAGTCCCTGGCATCCCTCTGGCATTCAGGTCAGCCTGTCTCCACGCTTCTCAGTGGAGGTGCCTGCAATCTAATCTGTCATCATGCAGGGATCTCCTGGGTGTGAGTACTGGCCCTGCTTTTGAACTTAATTCTCAGCTTGGAAACCTGCCCCCTTTGTCCAGACTCTCCAGGATGCATGGAATGAGCCCTCCAGAGCCTTCATGTGAACCCAGGAAAGGTAGATGGGTATTTCCCCAGGTCCCAAGGCTCTCAGCATTTGGCAAACAGGACAGACCTCAGGATGAACTAGCCAAGTAAGTGCATCACTGATTTGCACTGCACTGGGACCATATTCATCCTAGCTTCAACTCCCTGTTGCCTAAGCCAACTCCATAGCACTCATGTTTGCTGGAACCCTGGGGAGAAGAGTTGCTGCAGGCACAACAATCCCTCTGGAGGCAGATGTTGCTTTTCCAGACTTTGATGCTGACAGTCAGTGACAGCGAAATCTGACCAGTAACAAACATAATCCTTGTTTGTGTTGCTGTAAAGAATTCAACAGTAGGTGGAAGCCTTGGAAATCCTTTGAGAGAATTCTCCCTACCAAGTCCTAACTCCCAGCTAGAGAGGCAGAGCTCACCACTGCCATAACACATCTTTCAGCACTAATGATGCTTCAGCTGTCAGGATTTAAGTTTGTATATAAAGACTTTATATTTACCTCTGGTGGAAAAACTGTGCTTCATTTTAAACAAGAGAACTCTGTTTCATAAAGGTCACAGTTCTGGTCACATTTACCAATTGCTTTTTGCAACTGATGGAAAAAATATTTTTATAAGTCGCTATTTAATTTTATTATTTTTTACAGTTTTTCAGATTTTTTTTCTTTAATCTCTCTGGGTTTGTGCGTCAACCGTTCTGGGCAATCAGCTATGTCTTGTTGACATTGTTAATAGGCTTTCTGACTTGGCTGCTCAGCTGTGTTCTGAAATAACTCCATTAAACTCACAGCAAGTCAGGAACAAAATGGAAAGTTTAGAAGAGGGAAAGCTGGAAATTAATTTCCGGAGCTGTGTGGTTATTTTCTAAGTCTGAGCAGCATGCAGAAATTCTTGGTAAGATTTTTTGAGACAATTCCATGCTATTTTCAAAAGTTATGTGTTTGTGGGAATCCAGACTCTTGCAGATTTCCAGCAAGCTACCAAAGTGAAGAGCTACCAGGGGATGGGATTCAGGAGTGGGGAACAGTTTACCTTAGGATGGCTGTACTGATTCCTGCTCTCTCAGTGTTTCTTGGTCCTGTTGCAGGGCCAGCCCAGCTGTTTGTGAAGTACCTGCTGAATAGCTACAAAGGTAGCTGATTAAGGAAAACCTGGATGGATTTGGGCTCTTCAATCCTTCAAGCTCTACATCAAGAAAGTCTGGCTGCCCCTCCAGAGTCAGCAAAGCTGTCCATGCCACAAGTATGGAAACTATTGAGAGGGTGAGTCAACCCTGCCCTGGCTTTTTGAAGCCAGAGAGCATCTTCCTGCACTACACTCCTCTCTGCACTGGGCTCTTAAACCACTTGGTCACTTTTAGAAACTAGCCCTTCAGCTTTTCAGTTTCCTCAGTCTCTCCTTCTTACTCTTGGCTGGGCTCACAGAAGAGCTGTAGGTTGGGGCAGGTCTTTCTCCCACCTCCTGGCCTTGCTGTGCCTTGCTATGGCATAGAAATAACTAGCTGTGAGCAAGAGCAACAGGAACCTATTTAAATCCTGTTTTTCTTGGGGTGACAGTCCCCACTCCTCCCAGGATCTTAGGCCTGAGGTGACCGCAGTGGTGTAACACTGCAGCTCTCTCTCGGATGAGCTGTTGGAGCAAGCTGTGGTATATTGATACATATAACCACCTCCTCTGCATTTAAGCTCCAAGAGACCTGGCCTGGTGTATGCTGGGCTGACTGGATACTGCCTCTGCAGTTGGTCTTCCCTTCGCAGAGATCAAAACACCTCTGAAGCTTACAGTGACCCTCACCCATGTGCTAGATGAGACCTATAGCGCTCACAGGGCATCACTCCAGTATGGGGAACAGGGTCCTTTGTCATCTTGATTTCATCTAAACACAAGTCAAAAATAGATACACTTGGAAAAAAAGGTTAAAAAAATAAAATCCAGATCACGAACGTCGGGAACATCACAAAATACAAGCCAACCTCTCGCTGATCAAAACCATCCTGTGCCCTGCAAGCCTCTCCCAGCCAGTTCAGCCTCACCCAAGACGACGTGTTCTCCAGGCACTAATATTCAGTCGCCACCAATGCAGGCCCAGCCAGAGCCCCAGCAGAGGCCACAGCCTCCTCGAGGTGCCGCGGTCGCCAGCGCAGGGCGGATCAGAGGGTCTCGCTGTAGATGGTTTCCTCGCAGAGCTCCAGCTGCACGCTGGACGCAAACCAACGCTTGGCACAACCCAAACTGTAGTTGAGGGTGGTCCGGTAAATGTTCTTGGCACGCTTAGGAAAAATGATGGTCGTGCTCTGAAACCTCAGTGGCTTCTGGCGGGGCTCAAAGATCAGCTGGGACTTGTAGTTCCGCCAGGTGCAATTGGGAGCAGCGATGATGGTCTCGCTGTAGGTGGTGACCGTGGGGATGGGGCTGTAAAAGATGTCATCCCGGTAATGCTTCTCGGAGTCGTACTTCACCTCAGAATTGCACCTAGAGAGGACAGCAGGGTATCAGGAGCACTGCCCAGGCAGCAGAGAGGACAGGCAGAACTCTAACCCCTTGAAGCAATGTTTATGCCTTCTTGCTGCACAGGCACTGGGGCAGCTGCCAACTCTGCAGCCTGAAGTGAGGACCAAGAGAGCTCTGGCCTACTGGTGAATCTTGGTTGCATCCCACCTTGCCATGAATCCATCTTAGCTTTTGTGCAGTGCAGGTGCACAAGGAATCCAAGTCTGCCTGGTCATGCCAGGGCAGAAAAGACCTTGTTGCCCAAGCTCCAAGCAACCTCCTCTGGTTTCCTCCATGGATCCCACTGGCACCTCAGCTCAGCCTGGAGAGCTACCCTGAAATGGACTTGTTGGGCTGTGTGTTTATTTTTATCCTTTATACTGCCTTGCCATCACAGCACAAAGCTAGCTCAAATCAGAGTGCTGGGACATGAGGGATGTGCTTGCTTGTTGGAGTCTACAGAAAATCCAAGCAATGGTCAAAAAGCAGGTAAAGCAACAGGATATTACAGACTATGGCTGTCCAACAGCCAAGCCACTGGTCTCAAAGGAAGTGGCCACCTTAAGAGCCATCAGATGAAGAACCCACAAAAGGTAGGATGTCACTGCCCTGCCTGTTTTCTGCAGGCATCCAGAAAGGATGTATGGACATCAAGCCTCATAAAGGGCTTTTCCTAGAATCCCTAGCCAGGGGGAACATTAGGACTTTCACTGGTTTTCCCCACTCCCCAAACGCTCCTCCAGCAATCAGCAGCCAAGGAATGTGCAGCTCCACGTAAAAAAGATTAAAAGCTGGGTGTGTGCTTGTCATTACCTCCACCCGGAGGGGGCCTGACTGATTGTGCACCACGTGTAATCTGAGCTGCTGTAATGTATTTTGCACAGCTAGGGTGTAAGCAAGTCATTCAGCACACATAAAACAAGACTCCGATGTAATCACCATAAAAACATGCCCGCTGGCAGTTCCTCAGCCAGCAGAGATTTACTGGGGTGCATTTCCAGAGAGAGACCTTGTATAGGCTGAGGGGGGTGGGAATTGGGTTTATAGTCCTCCCACTGTCCCTGCCCCAAACTCTGTGTAACTGCTCCATGCTGTTTACACAGTACATTCCACACCAGCAGAAGAAGAGCAGAGACCAATATTTACCCACAAGCCACAGCACCAGCCCCACAGGAGGGCACAACACCTCCATCACTGGCTTAAGGGACCATCCCTCATGAGGAGGAGCTCATCCAGTCTCTGTGGGCTGGACTAATGTTGGTTTCTCTGCTGCAAGGGCTAACAGAAACAGGTGCCAATTATAAGGGTGTTGCTTCTTCTGAAGATACAAGTCATCTGGGAACAGTATGAAGACCATCAGATTACTTAGTGGGAGCCATCAAGCCCACAGATGGTAATGGTTTTCTCACATAGCCTTGGATTTGAGCTGGCCTTGGAAGGAAAGCTGCCTTCTGTTAAAACCTCCCTCCAGTTCTCGCCTCATCCCCTCTGCCTCTGCTGCTTTCAGGCTTTCTTTGGTATCGGTAATTCAGGCTTTACTCTCCCACCTGTCCCTCCCTTCCCATGAAAATTACCATGACTCCCATTTGTAAACACATTTTAATGTTTGGCAGAAGGAAAAGCACAAGGAAAAAGACAGAAATCCCCACCTACCCACCCAATCCCATCTGTACCTGATTTCCTGCACAGGCTCAGGGCTGACCTCAATGCTTTCTCCAAAAAACACAGGGTACATTCGAGGCCTTATCTCTGGCATGGATGGGTTCAGGAGCAGGTAAGGCATCTGCAGGGAAGGAGAGCACAGCAAGTGTTGGGACACAACAGGTGAGGCTGGCATGGTTCACAATGTGCTGTGGCTGGTGATGCAGTGGGCTGCCCTCACCTACCAACACCTTCCTCTTCCCAGCACACCTCCCAGGTAAGTGACTCTGTCCACATCTATGGCACTCCATGCTGCAGTATCTGTTTGTTGAAATTTTGCCCTTCCTTTCTTGTTTCTCATAGGAATTGCAATTGTTTGGGGGTTTTCTTTAGCCCTGATGTTGCCTTTACTGTTATGAATTAACAAGTCTAACTTCTCATGGAGAAGTGCTCCAAGTCTGACCTAACACAGAGATAGAGCTTAAGTCTGCTGACTGAAAGGATATAGGTCTACTTAAGTGAGAGATGTATTTATATTTATATATATAAAATATTGTATCCCTTGCAATGATCCAGACTTGCTGTTGCTGAAATTTCTATGCCAAAAATTGTTCTTGTGCTCCAAGGGACATTTTAGTTAACTATGCACAACTGAGGGTGGGGTGAGACACTGGGGCACCTTGTGGCCTCTGCAATGCTGGAAACCAATTTCAAGCCAGGACTCTATAATGAATGGAGCTGCTCCAATTCATGACACCAAAAACTGGATTTTTAAAGACTAATTGCACCCTGAAGTTACTTACTCTGACAAATTGTCACAGTTCAGCCTAGGCTACTCTGACACCACAAAAATGAGTAATCCCACTGCTCTATACTGGAGCTCTCCTAAACATCAGTTCCCACATATAGAGATCCTGTGTCTGGTGTCTGGACTAAGCCCAGCAGCTAATTAAGCCTAATCCTGCCCTCCTGGAAAAATGTCATTGCAGGTTTCAGTCTCTGCCACTACTTTTCTGTCAGCAGATATTTATGACGCACAGGGACACAGGATCTCTTTAGAGGAGATGGCTGGCAGCCTCTGTGCACAGTCTCTAGATGGCTGAAAAGCTCATGGAGTTTTTCCACATTCCACCATGCAGAGGCCATATGTGCTAGAATCACAGCCATGTTTCATCTGTGTCAGTCAGTCAGATCATCTCAGGACTCACAGAATCCACTGACAGTAGCTGAGGATAACAGCTCTTGTGTTGGCTTGCTTTACCCATGACTCTTCTTTCCAACTTCCCAAGCATCTTCTGTTTGGGTGGCACAGGAGAGAACACTGGAGCTGTGACCTGGTTCTACTGGCAGCACTGGGAGAGAGGTTCTGCAGCCTGTGCCCTGCCCAGTACAATGTGCAGGTCCCCAAATGTTCACCAGATTGCCCCTCAAGTTGGTGTTAACTGGCAAAGCTCTGCTGAGTCCACTCAACAGCATCAGCTCCCACTAGCTGAGGTCTGGTTTTCTCTAGTGACTTGGACTTTTTGCCAAGCCCTTCAATTCCATGTCCCAAAGCCACAAAGCTGTTTATTCTTTCCACACTAAAATATCCCTGCACTTTACTACTGTGTAAAATAGTACTGTAAAGTAAAATGTCCAACCCTTTTTTTGATTGAATATCTCTCTCCATTGTCAAATGAGGACAGTATTTGCAGAAGTATGGGCAGGAAAAAAACCATGTATGTATGTTCACCCTACCAAACACCGGCTAAAAGGCAAAGTTCATTTCTGGATTGCTTTCAACACTCTCGACAGGGGAGGGCAAGAGCAGCTTTTCTGGTCATAAAGCAAGCTCTTTGCTTCTGAAATGTGAATTGTTTACATCAGAGAAGCCTCAGTTCACAAGGGTGCAAATATCCAGCTTGTAACAGCCTGCACATGGCCAGAGCTCTTTCTAAAGACATCATGTACATGAGAAGAGAGTCATTTGGGTGCAGGAGTCAAACACTACAGGGACATGCATTCACGGACTTTGTGAACAGTAGATGAGCTTGGGGGTTCACCTGCAGAGAGATGCAGACTGCTTGAACTGCTGAAGGAAGCACAGCTGGGGATACATGTCCCTCCTTTAAAGCAGCAGTTTCAAAGAAGCCATTTCAGTGCTTCCAGGCAAACAAACCTTCACACTTCTTGCTAACAAATGCTGACACTAAGTGTGCTCTAAACATCCCCAGGATGCAAGAGGCGAGGTCCTTCCTGTGGCTTAGCAGGGACGTGGCTGGGGCATCTGGCCCCCAGCGTTTGTATGGAAGAGACTTCCCAGTCTCTGAGTGCTGCGGGTGCTGCTCGGTCAGAGCGTGGGCACAGCAGCAATCGCTGCCTGCTGAAATCACAAGTCCCACAGCAGGGAGCAGGAAACAAGAACACGCTGCAGAAACAATACCAGTGTGCACGGAGAAAGGGAGGCACTGGCATGCGTGGCTGAAACCAATCAGAGTCAAAAAGCTGCCATTGAACTCGGGTGTGAGCAGGAATAAGTCCCCTCCAGGTTAGTTCTGGATGGAGTGGTGATGAGATTATTTCTATTGTGGGTTATAGTTTACTCTGTTCTGGACAGGGAAGGGTGACAAAAGGCATTTCATAATGCATTTCATGTGCTGTAAATGAGCACTAAATTCAGACCTGCAGGCTTGGCTTAATTTAGAAAGTTGGAACAACTGTGAACATTGGCAAGGCAAAGCCAGGACTTCTACTGCCCATCCGACACCATCACACACTCACGCTTATCTTCCATGGATAGTACCACGAGCTGCTGCAGGTCAGAAACCTTGAAGTGACCTGGAAGTCTGCACATGGAAGATGTAAATAACTTACAAAGAACAGACTAAAAATAGAGATCATCTGTAGGACCCCACAGGCTGCTCACCAAACAGCAACTGATTTGCTGAAGTGAAGGGGTCACTAAACAGTAAGCACAGGTTTTACACAGCAGTGACTGAAGGGCACTTCAGGTGACATTTTGTTTCACCTTCAGTGATATTCTGAAATGTCAGCTCCTGCATCTCGCCTGGAGTTGGGAAGCAAGAACTGGGGATATGATGTCTTTCCAAAAGATTTGTCTTTGGGGTTGAAATATCTTATGCTTGGCACGTGCCAAGAGCTGCCTCTTTGGCAAGAATTTGACACCAGCTCCTTCCAATCTGTTGTAAGGTTAAAACAAACCAAAATTGTTCTGCTTGTCAAAAAATACTGACTCAATTCTTTTTCCTTCTGTACAGGAATGGCTGAAAGAAGAGGAACACTGGACTGCTGAGCTCCATTGAGAAAATGATGATCCTTGTCTCACTTCTAGCAATGACTCCATGATCTCCAGACACTCCACAAATAAGGTGAGTTTCTGTATTGTCCTGCACCACAGATGGGCTGGCAGGGAGCAGAGCTTGCAGCACACTACTGGGGGTCACTGGTGGTGAAGAGGAAAAGCACACATCACTTTAGACCAGGCTGTCCACAAGTGACCCACTGCAGATGTCAGTCTATCCAAGGGTTTCTGTGCTGGAAGGCTGCAGTGGGGACCTGATTCATCTGTCCCCAAAAAACTGGAGAAGTGCTGGTACTTACCAAATGTAGCTCTGTAAAAGTAACCACAACCCCATCAGATTTATGCAGGGACAGAACAAGTCTGGTAGTCCAGGAAGGTTGAGGAGACAAAAGGGAAGATGCTGGAGAGATCAAAAGGGGACCCCCATGTGTATGTTTTATGCCCCCCAAACAGATCCAAGATTCAGCAGTAATTATGCTATTATTTTTATTTCTTTTCCCATACATAATTTGTTTCAACCAACAAAGAGTTACAGTATTATTAAAAAGTTGAAGTGCTTTCTTGTTTGGCTGCATTTTTCCCCCTGCCTTAACTCTGATGCCTTTCAGGCATGTAACGGCCTGGGCAGCTAAACGCTGCTTTTTGCAAGTAGCAGATAGATAAACACAGATAAAATTGGTTGCTGAACGGAATTCAATCTACAGCTAAATGACAGCACTGACTGTTCTTTAGCTTCCAAATTCCAGGCAGCAGAGCAACAAAAAGGAAAGGAAATTAATGTGACTTGAAATAAATAAACCCCCCAAACCCTTCCCTGGAGAGCATGAAGAACCAGAACTGACTGACTCCTTTTGCTATGGTCATTACGTGGAAGGCACTAAGATGTGGCATTAGTTCTCTAGGGACTGTAAGGGGAAACGAGTTTCCAAGTGTCAGGACTACAAACAGGATACAGCTTCCCAAATTCCCAGCTCCTAACATAGCTAGGGCATACGCAAATCTCTCACCACATTTTCCCACTATGGTAACATGTCAGGTCCATGAAAATGTCACTTTACTCAGCTGTTATTTACAGCCATAATGAAAGATCTGGCTGAGTTATTTGACACACATCTACATTCTCCGCTCTAGAAGATAAGCAATATTTGTTTAACAGACCATTTATTTTCCCAATATCTACACATATTGCACATTACGAGTAATTTATACTAGAGCCGGATGAGATTATATTTGGAGGTGATAACAGCAAATGCAAACCTCAGGTAGAAAGCAGGGCTTTATTATTTCAAAGAATTACATCCTTCCTGCTTATCTCCCTCTTTTATTTCAAGTGGGAAATATGTGCTGCTTTGCTTATTGTCCACAGGGTTACTCAGGGACGCAATGGAAATTCAACAGCCAGAAGACATCACCCTAGATGTCGTCCATCACAGCCACATTTTTCAGAGGAGATGACGAGACCCTCATGCCTCCCAGAAGGGATCTCTGTCAGTCTGCAGATCAAGTGAGGGTCAGAACCTTTTCTTTCCTTTGCCACTGGTGTTGAACCAAGGAGGAAGAGGAGAGGGTGCATGTCCAGAACTAGGTGGGGCTGAGGGAGAGGGCACAGCCAGGTAGTTAGCCTTTGCCAGGCAGAGAACACAGCCATGAAACTGAAACCACTACCAACCCCTGCCAGGGGAATTCCTGCAGGATTCAGCCTGTGGGAGTGGCTCAGAAGTGGGTCAGGATGCCAGGCTGCCAGCGCCAACCCCTGAGGCAAGCCCTGCTGCTGTGCCAGATGGGTGCCTCACTCCCCACACAAGCCTGGGGCTTTCCCCAGAGCTGCTGGGACCCACATG